GCTAGATTAGGCATGATTGCAACCGTAAAAAGAAAAAGTATATGTAGGTTTGGTTCCCCGAGGTCACTGACTGCAAGACAAACGGAAGCCGCAATAACACCCTCGCCCACAGTAATTGTCCAATCTACTCACATTCTAAAACATTTTAACGATTAGAACAAGGCAATCATCACAATACTAGGGATTTATTGACGTCCTACAATTCCCCGACCTCTTATTCAACCGAAAACGGCCATTGCTCATTAATAAGATAAATTAACTGTCCAGTTATATATCAACCTGGAATGGTGAAACTTGATAGGAAAGTGTTGTTTCAGACGCAAATACATCGGTCGCACGCAAAGGCAGTTGGCAACGCGGTCAGCTGAACATATGCCAAAGCGGTTGCTGAGGTCGGAAAATAAAATTCAATCACGAAGCACCTAGTGGCCACTAGCCACATGGTCGACCAAAGGACTGCATTTAAGATCGTACTTGAGCAGACGACCGGGCGTCTTCTACGATTTGTGGGGGCCGCTGCAATACGGAGAAGGAAACCAGAATTCTGTAAGCTCAGCTGGATCACCTGATCAGTCTCGGATTGCCGTGGTAGCGATCGATACACCCATTTATTCTAAAACCTCCTCCCTCCCCACCTTTTAATAACGCTTGACAGGCTTTAGCTGTAACATGAACTGCCTTGCTGTGATAAAAACATCCCTCACCATGCACCCACATCTTACTTACTTGCACTACTTGTTACGGCTGTGATCATGCCTGATCTAGCCGGCCTCAATGATGTCACGAACGGTTTGCGTGACGATTGGCGGCAGCGGATCTAGAGAGCTCCACCCAGTCTCTTCTCCAGCGACGGAGACCGAAGATAGAAGGTCCAAGATTCCACCCAGTCCCTTCTCCAGCGACGGAGACCGAAGATAGAAGGTCCAAGAACTGCTTCCATGTCGGTGTCGAGCCAAATCTTCAGTTGCCCTCCTCTTTGACGTTTCCAGGTGGGCTGCGGGGCCGGGTCGAGGGCAGCTCATGATGTCTACTATGCACCCACATCTAAAACTAATAGCTCCCTCCTGCTCTATTTACCCATCAAGTTTCACCCTTCCAGATCGATAATTAATTGGACAGTTAATCTATCCTAGGCAATGAGCGTTTGCAGTTGAATAAAAGAACCCGAAATTGTATGACGTCAATAAGTTCTGCTAGTCTCGTGATCTTTGCCTTGTTCAAACTTCTTCCGGGAAAACAATGTGTCAATTTTACTATTACCTTGTAGGAAAAGCTCAGGTTAGCGACAAACTACCTCAGCTACGGAGCAACTCTGTCTTGCTTTGTCTCCACACTGGAAATTCATCAAAAACAATATGTCGGAGGCTTTTCAAAGGCATAATAGCTAGCTGAAGAGTCGGTTACTCAGGATAGAATTGAAAGCGGGTGGCAAGGAGACGTCACTAGAGAGCATCCATACACAAGGACATAATTAGAATTATGCTACTCATGATAAACGAGTACCCATGTTTTATTACTATTAAAAAAAAAACAACTGCGTCGTTTTCATGCACAAGCATGTAAATGAGGTACCTGAAGAGTCAGCTACTTAGGATAGAACTGAAAGCGGTTGAAAAGTCGCTTTCCCTAAAGTGCTTCCATACCAGGTTGGAGTGAAAGTGGAGAAGGTCAAACAGGATCAAAGAACACAGAGGGTGACCTACATCGAATTGCAGCAAGTCTGAGTTGATCGGGAGTGATAAATTTGTCCCAGGAGTGTGTCCCAAGGGGTACCAAACTGAAGACACGTTCAGCTAGTAGGATAGCCATTAGGTAGGATGGAACCGTCCTATTGATCGTAGTAATGAAGAGACTCCCACCAGGCTACACATGGGGTAAAGAAAACATGCAATATGACCAAATGGAAACAAATTTTGCGCTACACGGGCAAAGTAAA